ATTGCATATTTGGATTCTACGTAAAATTCTGAGCAAATTTCATGTGATATACCCTACCCAATGAACTAAACAAACACACTGGAACGGTGGCTGCATAATTGTTTCTACGCAAGAGTTTGTGCCAGGAAAGACAACAAACAAGAGGAATTTGCATCTCTCTCTGCACTATGGCGGCTATTGAAAACAGCTGTTTGAATCATTAGTTCTTTTCACGTGGCTTCGGTTTAACTAACCGGGTTTCAAAACGGTTAGAGAAATGACATACCGTTGTTACAAAGTGACGTGATGGATACCTACCACTCGAATTTGAGCGGTATGTTGCGGTTTGTTAAACCGGAGCCACGTGAAAAGGACTATTGAGGTTAGGAAGATGAAGAAGCTCTTCTTTCTTTTACATCAATCGCAATGAGTGCGAGCGAAACAAAAAGCTTAATTAAAAAAAATAAAAAAATAGATATTTTTTCTGAGGTTAGGTGAGAGCAAGAAAAACGCACATATCAGTGGCGGTTCCTCCATAAGAGCACATGTGCACGTGCACTCCCAAATTAATATCAAACAACTTTAAATTTAATTTTATCATTCTTCAAATTTTAACATTCTACCTGTATAGTATTAATTTAAAAAATTAGTGGCCAAATGCGCCAGCAAAACAAACGCAACCGGCAACGCTGGAATCACAGCGTCCACCGCGTCGCCTGGGCCGGAATTCTGGTCCTCGAAAACGCTCACCGCTTTTCAGTCACTCGGCACTTCTAATGTAAATTTACATTGAAAGTGCCGAGCGACTAAAAAGCGGTGAGCGTTTTCGGGAACGAGAATACGGGTCCGGATCGCCCCGTTCACTGCACATTTCAATATTAAATCCAATTGGTGGAACTATGCCCCCCCGCACTCTTTGTTCCCCGCGAAGGTCTAGCGACGTTCGATGTTTTAAGCTGGCTGGTGTGCACATGTAGTCAGTGCACTTTGGGATCGGAAGCGCTTGTTTTATATTTATTTCGATTTCGAGCGCGATTTAACTGAAAACTGTGTGTAGAATGGCGGGATTTCTGAACCCCGATAGCCTTAGCGTGCAATATTCAAAAACAATTAAATTTTCTTCGCTTTCTTTGGAGGAAAAAATCCAAATCAAATGTGTCGGCCGTCCAAAGCCAAATTTAATAATCACCAACATAACAAAATGCAAAAGTCGTGATTATAAACGAACTTTTAAAATGGAAACTTACGAAAAAACTGACTGGTTGTGCGGTTGTGATGTTAGTAATAGTCTTTACTGTTTTCCCTGTTTGTTATTTGGAAGCGATGAAGCATCAGAATGGACAAAATCCGGCGTTAAAGATTTAGTACATTTATCCGAAAAAATTAAAAAACATCAAAACTCAAAATCACATCTTACTCTTATCTTTCAATACAAAACGTGTCTGTGAGATTGAAAACTATAATACATTTATGTATAAAAACAATTGTTAAACCAGGACGATGTACTCAGTGAGGTAAGTTACTTTGTTACTTAATTTCTAGTTTATTGATATAAGATCCTTCAATTTCCACGATTTGATAGACCGAAAAAAGTATTAAATTGAGCTTAGTTGGTTGTTTGGTAGGGTAGATATGAAATCCCTTAACAATATTTTTAATTATTGGTAGGTAAACACATCACATAACTCATACGATCACTTACAATAAATTATTTTTTTAAAGGCCTAAAATAAACACTTCTGGGCGTGGCGTGGCACCCCAAAAAATTTCGCGCCTGCGGCGGGCATCCCCTTTTCGGCATTTATTATGAATTACAAATTATGTGCACCCCCAATATGTTATACCACGAGCCGCCACTGGCACATATACAAAAAATCGTTGATTATTGGACGAAAATAAAAATAAAAAATTATGGCAAACAAAGAATCAAGCTCTTGAGTAAATATGACGATTGAAAAACTTAAGGGACGGGATAATTATCCGAACTGGAAATTACAGATGGGTGCTTTGTTGAAACTAGATGGACTTTGGCACTGCGTGTCTGGTAATGCCCCTGCAAATTTGAATGCTACTGCAAAAGCACGCCATGATAAGAAAGCATTGTTCAAAAAAATCCTTTACTTGGACAAGTCCACGTACCCATATGTTATGCAATCAAAAATAGCCCTTGAATCTTTGTCCTCGAACGCTATTTCTAGTGATTTCCAACTGTGCTACATCGCAAATTGCGTTTGTTACAGAATTTGTGTTCCATTTACCTAAGCTTGAAAGCTCAACAACTTATGTCAATTGGTAAGCCTCTAGATGATGAATTTCTACGAGTTAATATGTAACAAGGACTCACAGAAGAATACGAACCAATGGTGATGGCTCTAAAAAACTCTGGTGTCGATATAACATCAGATTTTCTCAAGACAAAACTGTTGCAAGATAAAAAATGGCAAAATGGCAGATCTGGTGGTGATTCTGCATTAGCAGTTCATAAATTCAAGAAGCCCCATGGTGTTAGAATTGCCGAACAAACGGTTAGTACAAAAATCAGTGCCCAAAGAAAAAGGACAAAAATTCTAACAATGAAAGACATCATGGAGCTTCAAACAGAAATAAAGCTCCAAACAGAGATAAGACTTTATTTGCTGCTGCTTTGGGTGTTAGCATGAAAGGGGACGATTGGTACCTACATTGAGAGTGGTACATCATCACACATGACTGGAAATGAAGAGCTGTTAACTAGTTTATCCAGCGAAAATTTTGAACAAGAAATAATGGTAGCCAACAACTCCAAACTGTGTGTAACAAGAACTGGTATTAGTTCAGTTAAACTAAGACCAAGTGGTCATCAAAAATTGATTTCTGACGTTAAACTTGTGCCAAATCTTCTAGTGAACTTACTGTCTGTGAACTCTATGGTTTCCAAAGGCTATTGTGCTCATTTTGATGCCAACAATTGCAAAATTCTGGACCAACATATATGTCAGATTAAGGGAGAACCTTTGGCAACGGCAACAAATGTGGATGGTCTGTATAAATTGGATGTACTCATAAAAAAGGTCAACATTGCAAAAATTTCAAGTTCGCAGATGCTTTGGCACAAACGATTGGATCACCTGAACCACTATAGTATGGATTTGCTAAAAAACCGACTTGCAACTGGTATTCCATACAAAGATAATGTAAATACAGAATATTGTGAGAGCTGTATTGAGGGAAAAAAAGCAAGGAAGCCATTTCCTTACAATCCCAGCAAAAAAAGTAGCAAAAGGTAAGCTTGACTTGATACATTCTGATATTTTAGGACCATTAGAGGTCGAATCTTGGAGTAGATCAAAATATATATTCACATTGATTGATGGCTATAGCAGAAAAATATTCTGTTATTTCTTGAAATCCAAAGATGAGGTGCCTGAAACAAGTGAGGAGTTTTGCATATTTGTAAATTGTAGACAATTAGACTGAAAGAAAAATCAAAGCCTCAAGAACTGATAACGGGGGTGAGTATTGCAGTGACCGATTAAATAAGTTCCTCAAAGATAAGGGAATAAAACATGAACTCATCGTACCGTACAGCCCGCACAGCAAAATGGTGTGGCTGAAAGCTATAACCGTCCCATTATGGAAAAAGTTCGATCAATGCTGGTAGATTTTAAATCATCAAAACAAATATGGGCAGAAAGAGTCAACAGTGCTGTTTATCTTTTAAACCATTCTCCAACCAAAAAATTACATGGTGCTTCACCAGAGGAGAAATGGACGGGATGTAAAGTGGATTTGAGTCATCTAAGAGTGTTTGGATGTAGGGCTTATGTGCATATTCATGGTGCTAAGGGAAGAAAGCTTGATGAGAACAGCAAAGAGTATTTGTTTGTAGGATATTCTGATACTACTGTTGGGCATAGGCTTATTATTACGGTACCTAACCTATTTTATATCATATCCTTAAAATAGTAGTTGAAGCCTGATGTAACACTTAAAAGAAGAAGTTGAAGCCTGTCAATAATTTTGTAGTTGTTCACTTGTCACTTTTTATATAAGGTGTACTCCGAGCATTAAATTAAAAATAGTTATTTGTGTAAAGTTATGTGTATTTCATTTGTGTCCTTATTAGTCCTCAGCCACTGCAATCAGTCATCGGCCATCATGTTGGAAATATTTTAGCCGGGTTGCCCCCATTGACATTAGTATACTGTTGAATTTTCAAAAATTTTCTGCATACAATATTTCATATATGGATCGATTTGGATCCCGGTGGAATAACCTGTACAGTATTAAAAGCAGAAAATACAGGGTGTCCCAGGGAAAAGAGTCCGCCCCGATTGAAATGGATTTTTGATTTGAGGAGAAATATTTTTCAGTTCTTTTCATTTTCGTAGCTTCAACCCCCTAGCTAGAGGGAGAATAACCCCCCAAATTTGAATAGGGGATAGGGGTGGAGTCATGCCTCTTTTTAAGGGTCTCATCGAGTTTCTCAAACTAACGGACCAATCCATCAATTATTTGAATAAATTTAAGCGTTGATTGATTTAAGTATCCCATCGATATATCAGACGACTCTATATAGAAAGTTCTGACATTAATTTCTCATTCGAACTAGCGAGCAAGTTTCGATCAATTTTACTTTAAAGTTCACGTCAGATAACTTGGCACGGCACTTATCTGATGGATGCATTAATGAGCATTAGGAAAATCTTACGTCAAACCAATTTCGATCGTTGAAATGATATAAGATATAAGTTTTATAGTTCTCATGCTTTGACGTGACAAGTGACATTATTGACAAATAAACTGTCTAACTTAGAAAATCCAATTGCCTGTTAACAAGAGCTATTCGCCTTAAGATAAGTGAAGTTTATTGTAGAAATATGCAATGATCCATCAACAAACATTAGGGCTAAATCCTTCCTCTTACCAAATTAGATTCTAAATATCTACCTTTCTTCCAAACGGATGAACTTATTTTATAAACGAGATCCTAGTTACATTGAAATAAAATGAAATGGCTCTCTAAAAGTATTCATACTTACGCGTAACTCCATTCTCCAAATCTTCGTAGTAGCCGCATAATGCCAGCTGTTGCAAAACTGAATTCGGCAAACGGCAAAGTTGGTCCACCCGGCGTAGTCTGGCACAGATTAACTCCACATCTTTGACATTGCGATCACAAGGTCTGAAATAAACAGAAAAAGTTAAAAGTTCCTAGACACTTTTAAACCACCGTTTGTAGAACATAAGTCAGCAACGTGTACCACATTGGAATTATTAGTTAGTTAGGATTCCGAATCCCGTGCCAGGAATTCTAAATAGGTTTTGTTGGTCTTAAAAGATCGAACCGTTCCGGAAAATATTGCTGATGCAAACGCTATAAGTTCACAAAGGAATATTCGCAATAATAATTTATACCTATTTAACATTTACCACGGCGTTCACAAATATAGCAAATTCATATAGACTATTAGAGAATATTACTCAGTTCAGCATAATAATAAGCGCGATAATATCAGGTAATATTTGCTTTCAATGTTTAGTTTGAGTTATCGCGTGAGAACATGTTTGAACTTCCATTGGCGTGAACTTCATTTTATTGTAATGCGACTCGCATTGTTTTGACTGTAATGTGTGTAAATATTAATTTTCTAGTACATGACTGTGACTACCGTGATACAAAACTTGGAACGTTGCGATAAACTTGAAGTTGAAGGAAGTTTTTTCTATAATAAGTTCAGACCTTTTATTGTAAAAAAAATTGGAGTCGACGCCCCAAGTCATAATAATAGAAAAGAGGATAGAATTCAAACGTAAGTTGGTACTCATATACTCTTGTTTTGAAGATATTGGCAAAGGTTGGGGTCCGCAAAAGTACATCCAGATTTGGAGAATGAGAAATATGGCAAATTTTGAACAAAAAAAGTCTACGGATCAATCATTAGTATTTTCGGAAATATCGCAAAATTTAAATTTGGGAGAGTATGAGCAGATAATTTACTGTCAGGAACTCGGCGACGCGTTATAAATTTAAACAAACTATGCCTAATTTTTGACTCGACTAATAACAAGACCAAAGGCAAAAAGAACAGGAGCGGCTTGCAGCACTTTCAGAACAAAAAAAAAAACAAAGACAGCAAGAAAAGCAGGACGGGCTTCAAGAAACTTTTGAATTTCATCATGAATGGATGCCATGCTAATCTGAGGTCTCCGAGGGACAATTTTTAGTAGATCCCCATATTTCTTAGAGTAGACATGTACCTACGGAATTAACAATTTTAATTATTATATTTACATTTTCGTTATCACTTGAAATTAAAATCTAATTGTCAAGCAAATATTTTATCCAATAGGGGAGGCATGCCAAGCCATCACGTTAAACCACAACATCATGTGAAAATTTATTTACTTAGTGGATTTGCATGTTACTAGCTCGTGTTTAAAAATCCAACGAGGTTGCAATGTTATAATGTTCACATACTGTGACCCAATTTTGGCGTATGGCGGCTTTCCTTCACATCGTTGTTACAATTATAATAGTGTGGCTGATAAATTACCTACTAATTATTGCATTTTCAGAATTTCGTCCTGGAAAGCTTGTTGAAGTGTAAATAAAATATGAAGTTTGCCACAATCACAATGTTAGTTTTACTCAAAACACATGCTGTTATTTTATTATGTTATCAATACTATAGACATAATTCTGTTTAAAAAACGCAAATCTTCTTAAAATAGGAGATGATACAAGGAAGAGAAAAATATAACAGACCCAAAAATGAGATAACAAGCAATAATAAGGAAAGTAGAATGTACACAGTATGGAAAATTCAAAAAGAAGAAAAGAGTACAGATAAAAGAAATCAAGAAGCCATTAAGGAAAGAGACATGTGACCTAAAGCCGGAGTCGATTGCTGAAGTTGTTTAAAGCCCTCACATAAAAAACAAAGTGGTAAACAGAACTCCTTATAGGGGAAAAAAACACAAAAATTTCTGTCATTCGACTACTTACCACATCGGCGGAATCTGCAATAAAAATTATGGCATCAAGTATAACAGTTCAAGTGATCACGCAGCTACACTTGGATCACATTAAAGAAACTGATCTTGCCACTTGCCTCAAAGTATCAAGTACCTACTTATGTAAATAAGGGCTAAGATCAAAAGTGAATATTTTATTGTAAGGTACTTTTTCTAGGCGCACAAATATTTATAATAAGACTCGATTTCATTTAAACAAATTATATTAGCCACAAAGAAATTCAATATCGCTATTTCCAAATGAACTGATCACAACCAGCAGAACATCAAGACTGACTCATCCTTTTCTTGCTGATATTACCCAACCCTATTCGCTTCGTCATCCGGCGTTTTTTTGTTAGGTAGGTGCAAGTAAATATTCGTTATATTATCAAAAAAATTATCATAGTCTTAAGAAAAAATAGGTACCTAATTATTTCTGCAGTTCCATAATACTACGACGGTTTTACTTACTGTATTTCAGCAAGGCTCATATTTTCTCCAGATATTTTCATGGCGAATGATAATGGGGTAGGTACCTATTGGGTGGAATCCAAAAACCTCCGAAATGCAAGAATATACCTAAAGAGTTGTAGGGAAAAAAATTGAAAAATTTTTCAGGAAATGTCTGGAGAAAATATTAGCATTGCCTAAATAGCGTAAATAAAACATTCGCTAGCTGCTTAGGTAATCCGCTGCCAAATTCGTCTGTGAACTAAATAAGTGCGTCCTAATCTTATCGTATTTGTCGTCGCAAATAGCTGGTTTTAGAATCCTTATCGTAAAATATCTTTAAATAAACAAATCAGGTTGTTAGTTTGTATAAATACGCGTGTAAACAGCGAAATGGAGTCGTCGGATTTTTCATTTATGGATTTCGATCTGAGTGAAGTGGCGAGCAACGGTTGTTTTCCAGTGCTAAATATCGCCTTAGAAAATTTGGATTTGTACAGTTTCGATGTGAACTTTCCCGATAAGAAGCGCTATTGTTTGTTGCATTACGCTGCCGAAAAAGGTGAATAAAATTTTTGTTTTGAATTTTTATCATGTTGGGAGCATATCAAATAAAAATTAGATAATAGGTAAGAAAAACAATTCTTATTTATTTACATACGAAATTAATTACCTATTCAAATGCTTTTGGATTTAAATTACATAATATAGGTATTTCTATTTATTGTTTTTTTTTTTTTTTTTGATTGCGAGGTTAACTAATTATTATATTTTCGATTCAGAAACTTGCACAGACTTTGCTTGCACTTTAAAAAAGATTTATTTAGGTGAAAAAAAAAAATGCGTGGATCAAGTTGCTACAGCAATAGCTTGAAAACAAATGAACGTTCCTTATGGGACTGCGCTGGCTCAAATAATAATTTATTGCCAATTCAGCAACTATGTTCACTTTACAACAATGTATTAAAAAAGTCATGGGAAAGGGGGTAAGCTCATTGAAGCATAATATAAAAAATGGATAATTGGTTAATATAACTCCTCCCTCCTCCCTCCTGAAGATGTTGCAAACGTGGATTGTCGTTTATTCAAATCAGGTAATTCAATTTGCACATTTGCACAACCTTTCTCTGAAGTTTTAAACTTCCTAAAACAGTAAAATATAAAAATTTTGATTAAAATAGCAGACTTAAACCTATGATTAAATATGTATTCAAATAAGAGTTTTCAAAGGACAAAATTCTTTGAGGTTATGAACTCCTATTTCTCATCGTCTTGAAGGCTTCTTCTAAGGCTTCTTGGTTGATTTCTTGAAGTTCCAATGTTGTTTCGTTCTCTGGAAGTTCAGGGATGTCTATTATTGGCATCTCCAGTTCAAAATTGAAGTTCTCGCTGACTTTTGAAAATGTTTGATTTTGTATTTTTACAAAACATTTTTCAAAAGAAACTAGCGTTGGATTTGTTATAATATTTATATGGTTTGTCTTGTCACATTGGGTAACTATCGTCAGAATTTTCTTAGGGATGACTAATAGTTGTCCATTCGGGAGTTGTCTCACTGTTGGTTTCGCATATTTCACTTTGGTGAAAAAAAGGACATTGTTGTGGTTCATCAGTAATCGGGTCATGGCACATGATTCTTCTCGCTTGAGCTTTTCTTGGTTACAAAGGTTCACATTTTCGACTCGGGGGCATTCCCGTAAAGTATTGTAGTAAATATCCGTAGTAAGTAATAGGTAAGGGTATACTTATTCCTAATGGTAAGTTCTTGGATAGGAACTGGATAAATTTTATACAATACAAAGGGCTTGGGATTCATCATTGGTGTGTTTATAACAAATATAATTAACTCATTTTGGATTTTTACTTGAGTTTTCATTGTCTCGTAATACTTGATTTTATCAAAGTCTATTTTATTATCAAAAGGTTTTTCAAACGCGAATAGGCCTAATAGTTAGAAATTGATCGTGAAATATTTTTGAAACTTGTTTTAATACTTGAGCTTGTATTTTTAGATCTTCATTGAGAGTATTTTGATTTTCATTGAGCATCTGAATATAAGAATCATATCTTGCGCCGTCTTCAGCATCTAGGGTTCCGTAGAGCCATTTTTGTGCTGTGCCCATGAAATCGAGTAGACCTCTCTTGTTTCGTTTTCAGTCTGGATGATAGGTTTTAATGACTGGTTTCATGATCCTAATTTGAGAATAACTGATTTCTATATTTGTTTGAAACATTACAACAAATTGGTTTGACCATGTTGTTTTATTAAGTGTCAGATAATTTCATTAAGGTTATTTCTAGTTGATGGCTACTTTGTATGATAATTTTCGTATTAATGTTATAATAAGCCGTGTTATGTTGAGTTGTTACGTAAGTAGTTTCTAAGGAAATTGGCGAGATAGGATTTTCTACCGTCATCAATGTATACGCTTGGGTGACTCCAACGAGAGTTAGGAATACTAAAAGATTCATCTCGGAGTACCTGAAATAAATTATTGTCGTTTAACATTTTGTTTAGCAAAGCGATTCTGTGTTTTGCTATCATAACGCGGACCTATCTTGTCTCTATTAAATTGTTTTACGAAAATCGGATCTTGTAATTCTGGTTCGGGTTCACGATTTTTATTGCGTAGTTCTAAAGGCCTTGTTTGTTTCGCTAACAATTTTTCTTGAATTTCTTTATTTAAATTTGTGAGGTATTCTGCCAAACTTGTTATATAGTCAGTTGTTAGTTTATTTTCTGTTTGTTCAATTGGCATGGCATAATTCAAATCTCCTGTTATCACTTGAAAAGGGGTGTGATTCATTGTACTATGAGTACCGACTGTTGTTACAGTTCAATATAGCGATTGTCATTATAGATCAATAATACTACTATTCGGATTTTGGAGTTTTAAACTCGTTATACTTTCACGTAGTGTCAAATGGAATCTTTCGGTTAGACTATACAAGTTTGGATTTCTTGGAGTTATGTTATGAAACTCAATTTTGTATAATGCACAAAGATCTGTCATTATAGCATTTTTGAACTCTGCACCATTAGCTGATGTGATTTTTTAAGGTATTCCATGATCACTAAAATATGTTATCTCTACAGCTGTTTTCGTATTTACAGGAGAGGCTTGAACAAATTTTGAAAAGCTATCAATAATGGTCAGAAATTTCTGTTTATTGATCATGTGTCAGTATAAATATGTTCGAAGGGTTTCGAACCAATCGGTGTTGGTTTGAATATGATTTTGTATGGGTTATCGTTCATTGCATATCTTCTGTAGGTACGTCTTTTTCGACATTGGACCAATATAGTATTTTACATTATTAGCCAGGTAAAACAGTTTTTACTGGCGATTGAAGGAAATGACTAGCGAGCCGCCAGGCGAGCTTGTCACCTTCAAGAGCCAGTAAAAACTGCTACCTGGCGTATAATGTACAATAATTTATTTGTTACTCATTTGTAAAAGATATAGGGACAAATAAAAAAACAATACATAACAAAAATTTGAAATTTATATGTTTTTCCTTGATTTTTTCTCACAGAAGTTTTGGTAGTTGGTATAAATATGAGAATGATACGTTGTTAAGACGTTGTTTCTAGTTATAAATAGGTTTTTTGACAGATTTCCATTTTGCAATTTTTTTCCAGAAATGAATTTATTACAAGATATTATTAATGAAGCTGCAGTCGTAGCCAACAGTTTATCACCAGAAAAGTCTCCCAGAAGGTACCTACAAGCAATTATTCTTGTGATAAAACCGATTTTTCAAAAATAAATAATTCTACTGACTTGTAAAAAGTTTTTACAGTTTAGCTGTCAATTTTACAAGTCAGTAGAGCCAGTAGCTCGTAAAAATCAATTTTCGCTGGTTATGTTTTGACTTGATAAGTGACGTTTTACAAATGAGTGACAAATAAAAATCTTTTCTTTAAGGCTGCAACATTTTCAGTGATTCCTCTATGAGAGGTTTTAATCTCATGATATTGCTGAATTTTCTCTTGTTAAAGATCAATTTCTGTGATGTCTTCTAATAAAGAGTTCGAAATGTACAAGGTAAATAAATTCCAATTAAACGATTCTTGTTATGCTTGTAACACAGTAGGTTCTATAGATTTATTTAGGAAATGACGGCAATAAATAACAGGTGGATTATTTGGTAAGAAGAATATTATTCTCTTTTTATTGCCAAATAGTTTGATTATCTGTTTTCTAATTGTGTTATTATTGGAATATCGAAATACAATTTGATTTCCGGATATATTAACATGTGAAGCTCCTAATATTCGATTTTCCATAGACGTAGGTATATTTTGTCTGCTCATTTTTAGACAGGGCTGAAACTGTTCGTTCGTCATCCGGAGGTGTTATTTGTCTTTTGCTTTTTTGAGTTTTTGAAGATTCTCCTATTTCTATGGGAATTTTTATTTTTCGGGTCTTCCTTTCTTAGGCTCCTCTTCAGGTTCATTTTCTGATGCTGTTTTTGTTGATTGAGATGATTCCAGACATTGTTATCTCTTTTTCTTTAGCTTTCTCACTTTGTTTAGGAAGATATACTTTAGAGTAGAGTCTGGTCATGGGCGCCGGCAGCAGGGTGCAAGGGGGTGCACTTGCACCCCCCTGTCAGAAATACTTTGAAAGAGGAACGATGGCCCCCTCGCACTCTTTGTTCCCCGCGACATTCCTTGGCTCACTTCCGGCTCAGATCGGTTTATTTTATTCTTATTTCGCGCGCTATCAATCTGTAGAATAGCGGGAATTTCAAATTTACTCAAATTCTAGTTTATTGATATAAATTTCTTTAATTTCTACGATTTGATAGCCCGAAAAAAGTATTAAATTGCGAGAAGCCCGTGCCCAGGGGCGGACATATCACCGGGCAGTTCGGTGCGCCGCCCAGAGGCCCACGGTCCAGAAGGGCCCCACGATGCTGCGGAAAATTTCGAATATGTAGAAAAAAATTTCAGACATGCAAAACAAATATAATAACATTTTAATTAACCTACATTCAATAAGGACTCAATTCCTATCTTCTAAAATATCATTTACCATACCGCCCATGCCTAATAATATTCGTTTCTGTGGTTGAGAGCATCTGGCAATGCTGAGCGTGCCTCCGAAGTATTCCGAATATATCCGACCATAATTCCGAGAAACACAGACCGACCCAACAGTCCATAGTCCATATATTGTGATTTGATTACCACTATTTCCAGGCCGCATTTTTATTTTCCCAGTTTTTCAATCTTTTATCTAGATTTTTAGACACAAGCCACAACCTTTGTAAGGTCCCCCCATTCCCCAAACATATTTTCTGGGTGCGCCACTGCTCAAGAGATAGGTTAGGCCTAGGGGCCCCCAAATATATTTTGCCCTGAGGGCCACTCGTCCCTAGATCCGCCACTGCCTCTGCCACTTTCCACCGAGGTGAAAACATCATATGATTTATCTAATCACCTAGAAATAGTTATTTTCCTAACAAGTGCGTAAAGTGACACTTTCCCGCACGCGCCTGCCGTTGACCCGAACGACGAGAAGCGGAGTTCGGGCAAGCAGTCGGGTGCGGGAA